CCGCGAATGCTGGACCGTCCTTCCGATTGTAGCAGCTTCGTGTCAAGGCACAGGAGGTCGACCTTGCGGGGAATCTCCCTGTCTTTGCTGGCCGATCCTGGAACTGATCCGCCGAAAGTGGAAGCTTCTTGAGAGACGGCATGGCCATGATCCGACGGCTGCTGCGTGCGTCTTAAAGGCCTCATTCCGCCTAGACTTTTGGCGAGTTACGCGCTGCGCTATGGCGTGGGAGTGGCTAGCAGCGAGTAGCGAATGGTGATGATAGGTAACAGGTAGAGCTGCTGTTTCTGGTTGATCTGAACCCAATGGAGCAGGTCGATGTAGAGTTGAATCCGTAGAAATCAGTCGGCGGCAATTAAAAAACACAATGTCGGGAGGAGGAATGTGCGCTGCGAGCGACACCAGTGGTTGAACTGAAGGGCGACGCGGTGTGCTATTAAGAATGATGCGATATTTTAAAAATGCGACAAGAATTTTGGGATTGTTTACAAGGAATGAGCGAACCGGTTGGTCGATATCGGAACGCAATGCGAGACATTGGAACCGAACAGGAAGCCCTATTCCAAACCAGCAGAGAAACTAGGGGATTAATGATACTGAGGAGAAAGAACACGACGATTGGCGGGTCTCTGACGCATGCTCGACAATGTCATGGGTAACGTAACACGACGATTGGCGGGTCTCTGACGCATGCTCGACAATGTCATGGGTAACGTAGCGGTCTGAAGGATCACGGAGAAGTACTAACGAATATATCACAAACAAGGTTTGCTGCCTAGTCTGCGCTGAGCATCCCACTAGCATCACAGGGGCTCGCACCGCATTCAGAATGCATAAAGCACGGAAAAAGGAGTGGTTTTGCAACGAGCCAGGGCTGGGTCAGGAGCATCACCGTGCTCCAGGAAATGGATTACTCGTTGTCACCGCAAGACGACATAGAGCTACACAGGTTCACGTTCATATGTTTGACTGAAGGAACTCCACGCGCAACCGAGTGAGGTGGAATGGGATTTACATGTTCACCTATACCTGTGTATGGAATGCAAGTCTTGGATTTGTGTGGAGTTCAAGTCTCGGGATTTGCATGGCATTGCATGTGAAGAATGCAAGTCTTGGCTGTTGTCAGATCAGGAACTGGCGAATTTGCGACGACCCTAGGGAACAGAGCTGTCGTTTCGTTTTGGCCCCCCCGGACAAATCAGGGGGCCCGGCATGTACGACCCTGTATTTAGCAGGGTCGGGGCGAATCTCGGCCCTTTAGGCTTGAGGGCTGAAATTTATTCCTCCCTGTAAATCAGGTTTGCCGCGGAAAATTCTGCAGCCTCAGTTCTACCACAAAGCTGACAGCTGCACTCCGCTAGTATCAAATTAGCTAGTTAGCAATAAAAAAACTAGTTAGCGTCATTCACTACCCACGCGTAACAGACTTCCTCCTCTTCCAACTCTTAGCAAAGATCTGAGATGTGTTTTGCTGCTTGCTATGCCCATTCAGGCCTGAGGGTGCACAACATGACGGGGATCTGAGATGTGTTTTGCTGCTGCATGTTGGTTCATGCTACTGTCTGTGTGTCATGGGATGGGAGCGAGGTTGTAATTGGTACAAGTACCAGTTGTTGGTTGAGTTGAATCTGTGGTCCAGCCACGCAACTCCAAATTTGACAGGCTTGAATGCAATCAAAATAGAAACGGGGGGAGGGGGAATGGAGGAGTTTGGGGGGGGGGGGAGGAGTGGGAGGGGAAGTTCGAAAGACTTTGTTCCAGGGCTCGCCTAAAATCTACCCTTAACACTCCGGACCTAAGCCCGAAATCAGCCCTGTAATGAATCAGGGCCACAATTCTCAACCCATCAATTTCAGTTTTCAAGGGCAACCCAGCCCTGGAATTCAAGGTCCAGCAGGGCAAACGCCCTGCAAGCGACAGGCCTGCTAGGGAACCTTCGAGACCTTCCCAGGGCTTGTTTTCAGTTCTGTCCAGATGTGCGTGTCATTCTCTTCCTCTGAAATTGCCTCAAACGGTCACTTTCCCCAGCGAGTCCCTAGGGTCCACCCCTGCGTTTGAGCTGAGAATGATCGCACAGATGAACCCTCCAACATAGTTACATGCGTTCGTCGATACTGTTCGTGTAATGCGCCTCGACTTCACACTGACACACTGGAGCGCTTCGGACACGACAGAGTTGACATGCCACAGAAACAGAGATGCATCTGTTGGCTGAGCGACTACGCGGGACTCGTGAGCTAACCTTCATGGTCGCCTAGGCACAAGCTATTTCATTCACCTTTAGTGGTTGTGTTATAATCTGTACTTACAGCATAATAATCATGACACTGCCTGTTGCTTGGGGTGGGAGGGGGGGGGGGGGAGGGGAGGGGAAGTCCAATCGGCACAAAACACTGCCTGAGGACAATGACACTAGCAAGAGGGGTAGGAGGGAGCTAGAAGAAAAGATGCACAAGGGACTGTTTGATTGGATAAATCAACAAAAAGAATATCAGTATGCGAGGAGGTACGGTACCACAAGTCCAATCAACACACACAACACTGGCTAACAATAACCCTCACTCCAATTTCCCAAGACCACATGAAACCCATCGCCCTTGTGCACAAACCACAAAACCGTGACCCCCCCTTCACCACTCGTATATGTACACCTCATTTTATTCCACCGGCCCATGCCTAAGCTGATTCACCCCGCTGTTCGGTTGCCTTCTGCCTCTTCTGCTTCTTCACTTTCTTAACTTTCTTTACTTTCACATTTTTCTGATTCTGCGATTTCTGCTTAATCGGCTTGCTCCTTTTGGCCTTTCTTTCTCTCCTCAACGGCACTCTCCCTTCTGCTGGCCCCTCCCAGCCCTGATCCGACCCCGTCTCTCCAACCCCTTGCAATTCCACCCTTCCATCACCAACATCACGGGCTGCTGCAGCAGTAGCTGCTTCAACAGTTGCTTCTGTCGCCTCACCTCCCAAACCCCTCCCGTAACTCCTCAATGTGCCACCCTCTTGCTCCAGGTTCACCCCTTTTTGCCCTTCCCCCTCACGACTCACTACCTCTTGATGCAGCAGCTGCTGCTGCGGCTGCGGCTGTGGCTGTGACAGCCTTTGCTGCAACTGCTGCCACTGCCCCTCTCCCTCGCTCCCTTCAACACCCTTGGGATCCAACTGACGCTGCACCCTCTGCTCCCCTCCTCCTTGCATGTGTTGCCTTCGTTCCACAGGAGTTTCCGATGGTAGTGCAATCAGCCTTTCCGCTACCTTCTGTTCCAGCCTGACCGCTTGAACCTCTTCTGAATCGCGCTCTGCGGCTCCGCCTTTCTGCTCCCCATCGCCCTCTTGTCCTTCCACTTGCTTCCCCTCTCGCTGCTCTTTTCCAATATTCTGCTGCTGCATCATCGACTGCTGTTGCCCCTGCTCCCGCTGTTCCTGCTGCTCCTGCTTCTGCTGCTGCTCGATTGGCTTGGCGCGCTTTGCTTTCTCCCCACTGCCCGCTCCTCCTTCCGCCTCCGCCTCTCCTTGCGCGTCTGCTCCCGTTTCGCCCCCTTCGCCCGCGTCTGCTCCGCCAGTGCCCTCCTGTGCATCAGAGTCATCAGCAACGGCTTCGTCGCCTCTCCCTGCTGCTATAGCTGCGCCGGCCGCTCCCTTTTGAACCAACATCTGACCAATAGAATGCGGGGGAGCGGACGGACGGAGGGACAGAGCGATGGAGATGAAGGAACGGAGAGATGGAGAGAGGGCAAGAGAAGAGGGAGGTGAAGCGGGGCAGGCGGGAGAGAACGGAAGGGACGCGGAGGGGATGCATGCAAAAGAGGGGGCGCTGCCGCGACAGAAATATTGTTCATTAAAATTGTTATTTGAAGGGAGGGAGTGAATGCGCCTATACCGTTTGGAATCCGTTGACCCTTCCCTTGTACAACATACCACTTTATTCCCAACGGTTCGAACGTCGTAGAACTTGCCCGAGAGCCGTGCGATTTCCTCCACAGCCCTATCGTGCACCGTTGGATCGCGCGCCACCAGCTCGTCGTACGCCGCGTCAAACACGTCCCTCCAAAACTGATTTTATCGCGGATGGAGTTTCGGAGGAGGTGGTAGGAAGAGGCACCGGAGAGGGAAAAGTGGAAGGGTGGGAGAGAGGAGGGAGGAGGAAGGGGGGAAGGGAGGATGGGAGAAAGAGGGGGAGGAAAGAGTAAATGAGGGGGTCATGGATGTGTGAGGACTGGAATATAGGAACATCAATAAAGAATCATCTGAGCAATCTCGCTTCTCGTCTCGCCCGATACGGCGATACTGACCATCACGCGATCGCCGACTAGCGCGACTCGACGTACCTCGTCGATCAGGCGATATGGCGCTTCTTGGAAGTACTCCCACTCGTCCTCCACCAGCCGGACGCGCTGTCGCAGCTCCTGCTGACGTGTCACGCGCGCGACGAGCCACGGAGAAGGGAAGGAGAAGTTTCAATAGATCGCGCGTGGAAAGGCGGCGAGACAATGCGGAAAGGGAAGGGGTGGTTGGAGGGGGTAGGGGGATGATAATGCATCAAGAGAAGCGCAAGCGGACGGGGAGAGAAGCATGATGTCAAGGCCAGGAAGAAAAGAGCGGGGAGGAAGGGTGAGGGATAAAAGAAGCGGGAGGAACCAGATGCAGAAGCAGCAGCGGAATAAGAAACAAAAGCAGCAGCAACAGCTCATCGTTGCATCGTGGAAATTCTTGTGCGGAGAACGGGGGAAGGGAAGAGGGCGAGAGAAGGAAGGAGGGGAGACGGAACGGGGGAATGAGGGAGCGGGAGAGGGTGAGAATGGGGTGGAAGGGATGGAAGAGAAAGTAAGGACACATTGTGCGACAGTCCACTAAGAAAAAGAAATAGTGTTTCTAAGGAGAAATAGTGTCTACTAAGGAGACATTACGCTCCTTCTCCGTGCCTCTATCTCGCTCACCTTCTCATCCATGTCGCCTCCTACGAGCAAATCCTCCGACGCCGACAAATCCAGCGCCGCCATCATCGCCACCATTTCCGCGTCGCGGCCTCTCACCAGCGCCCGCGTCACTTTCCCGACCGCGCCGCCTCCCCCCGCGCTCACCCTCCCCCAGGGGCCACGTCCCCCGCCACGTCCGCCGCCGCGTTTCCCCCCGCCGCCAATTTCGCCGCCGCCCCCTGTTCCCCCGAGTAACCAGCTTCCCCCACCCAGCCCCACGCCCTCGACAAACAGTAATTTGGCGGGGTCGCTTCCGCCGCTGCCGTACTCGCTGTTTCCGCCTGCGTCGTCTCCGCCGGAACCGGCGGCGGTGGCTGCGGCGATTAAATCGACGGCGGAAAGATCGATTGCGCGGGTGGACAGGAGGAACGAGGCCGTAAGCAACAACGCAGAGAATACCAGAATCAGCTGCAACTGCGATAAACTGGACACACCCCAGAGCAGCGTTTTCGATTTTGACTCCCCGCCGCCACGCCCGCACCCTCCGCAGCCGTGACACGCGCTTTTAAGTTTTAATCCGGGGGGGCATTGCGCGGGGTGTAGCACCAGTCTCATTCCCGGAGACTTCGACACGCGCGCGCACTTATGCGGGGGCGACGGAGACGGCGTGAAAAGCGCGGTCGGCGGCGCCAAGTCGTGCTCCTCCGCGCACGCCGCTCCGCCGACTCCCATCTTACCCTGGCGCCCCCAGCGCGACGCTGCGAAAGCCTCGGGTCCTATAAGCGGCGTTCGGATAAGAGCGTTGGGCAGCGGGAGGAGCGCGTTAGGAGGCGTGGTAGGAGAGATTCTCGAAGATAAAGGAGACGATGAATGTGGCGGTGAGCGAGGTGGCGGAGTGTGAGGGGCCGAGTGAGGCGACGTGGCACGCGCACCGGCTGGAGCGACACCAGACGGCGCTCGTCGCTCAAACGGTTTAGCAGCGGGAGACGCGCTGCCCGGAACTTCGGAGTTCCCGGGGGCGTTCGCGGCAGCGGTTGAAACCGGGCAGGGGAACGGGAGAGCTTGCGGCGCACGCGGGGAGCGCGGAAGCGGAAGCGGAAGCAGAACCGCAGAGAAGGAAGGCGGAGGTGGTGACGCTACCGAGCTGGAGTCGCGCGGAACCTGGTGGTTCAGAAGCAATTGATCAGGTGAACCAGAGTTAACTAATGTGCATGTTCTGGCTGCTGTGACGCCTGTTGTTGTCTCGCTGCTGCTTCTGCTGCTTACGACCGTTCCCCGGGCCGCTGTAGCTGTCTCGCTGAGTCTGCTATCGGTGGACGAAGACTGGTTACCAGCCACGTTCTCGCGATGATCATCTGCGTGCTCGTGCGACGGCTCGCGCGTGCTAGGCTGAACCTGGGCCGGGCGACGAGCTCGACTGTCGATTGTCGACCGTTCAGTGGGTGAGATGGGTGATGCTGTGTGGTGCGCTGAGGAAGGACGAACAACTGCCATCCACTGCGAGATCGTTCTTTAATCGCCGGATACCCACAACCCTCGCTCGTCAGTGAACACTGAGAGAGAATATGCTGAACTTCCTATAACTAGGACATTAACTAGCCGATAAGATGAACCTTAAGGAGCCTTAACTAGCCTGTATGCTTCGTTGGATACATTCAGGAGAACGCGACGGGAGAGAGCGCGAAAATGAAAATATTATTATATTTTCAGCAAATTTGGAGCTTCCACACGTCGACAAAATGAAGGGAGACTAAACGGGAAAGAGGCTGTGACAGCGGACGCCCCCTACAACTACACACAGTTTGCTGAAATGCAGAGACATCTTTCGGTTGACATGGTGATCCCAGCAGCTATGGAGGAGACCAGCCTTGGGGTAGCCATGGTAAGCTAAAAGAAGCTGGCCTGGACTACTAACAACAGGCTCCACGAACCATGCATGTGGACCAGCCAGTTAGTCTAGATGGCACCACCCTTACGGAGCCCTGGTTTCCCCTTGGGAATTGCGTGGAGGACGAGGGGCTGGAGCGTGAGGGGCAGATGTCGGCCATACTAGCGGGGAATACGGAGGCCGAAGGAGCGCGGGTAACTCGGTATGAAGCTCTTCGTGCTTTTAGGCTTGTGGACAGGGCAAAGCAAGGGCTCGGAGAGAGAACCTCACCAGCTGGTTCGGTGGTGCTTTGGCATGCCAAGGAGAGTCTCGAAGAGACACGCAAACCTGGTTTGGCTTGTGCTGATTAGGCCTGGAATTGCGGGGCGAACCCTGGTTTGGTTTGGTCTGGTTTGGGAATGCTTGTTTGGTATGACAAGAACCAGGGGTAAGGGCGCGTAATCATTTTGCATATTACGTTTTCGACGGACAGTCCGCTTAGAACGAGCGGACGGTTCTATTCTCGAGAACGGGACCGTCCGAATCAAAATTTTGCAACTTCGGACTGTCCGAAGGCTAATGTGACACTCTTTTGGGGTTGTTGATTTTGCGAGAACTGTAGCTTCGTTAGAGGCCTTGTATCATCGTAATTTACCTCGCGACATTTTCTGTATTAGCTTCGTTGGCGAATCGTTAAAATTAACTGTACATTAAAATTCGCCCACCAATACCTAGCCAGAAATGGTGAACCGTCCGTTTGGGTTTCGGACAGTCCGCGGTTCACAAAGCGGAGTGTTGGAAATGTGAAAAAGTGTCACGACAGTCCGCTAGGTTGGCGACGTCGCCAGCACCTCCGTGAAGACCGAAACGATAATCAGCGAAGTCAGTTACATTGCATCCCGACAGACCGTCCGCAGTTCGAGCCGTCGGGTACAAAATGGTTACGCGCCCTAACTGAAGTCTGGATGCTGCGAATCACGAAGCGATATGGTGTGTGATGATGTGACGGCGTTGCCCCAGACCTGATGGTGGTTGTGGCTGCCGAACCAAGCAATACGATTCTGGGCCCGAAAACATCGACAGTGGCGTCATCGTCGAACTGGACGAACGGAACGCGGGGTCGCACATCCGCTCAGCACCTCCTAGTGCCAACGACAACTGTTCCTCACGACTTGTGATCGGCACTGCAAATTGCAATTCGTCAATCGGAGGCGCTTGCGGAAGATACGTGGGCCCGTGACGACGCAGACGAGATTCGAACAGTCGCCACAAGCGAAAGGGCGACAAATGACGCTCTGCTTTACTGTGGAGGAACCTCAGAGAAACAGTACAAAGCAAGGGGTGTCGCCGAACCAGAGCAATAACGAGGGTTCGTGCTTCCGAACTCGACGCCCTCTTCCTGTATTTGGCATCTTGACGTCCCTCAGTCCGGCACGCTTCGAGGCGTGACCTTATCGGACAGTTTAGGCCAGGCGCCCAGGGCACGTCAATTTGCCATTGGAGGTTCGGCAAGTTACCAAACTCGTGGCGGCAATAGTTTTGCTGCCTCCAAACCCGATTTAGTAGTAACACCCTACCACGTCTAGGTAAACCATATGGAGACAACTGGGTAAGAAGAAACAAGCAAACTTTGAAATGCATTTTAGACTGAAAATGCTAGTATCTGTATTTTGAGCACAGTTAAGCTTAGGGAAATTTGATATAATACTTTTCTCTTCCCCCATGAAATGTCTCTTGTGTCTTTGTATAGAAAGTTGACCATTACCTATCATACGATTCAAGTGTTACGCAATTGCAGCTTGGACCGAGATTTTGGAGTCCAACTTCCACTACACGACCACGTACAAAAAAGGCGCATCCAACATCGCCGACGCACTCACACGCCCCACCGCCCGACTCCACGCCATCCTACATGCCCAAACCAATCCATTGTTAACAAACCTATTCACCCACGGATAATACTGACCCGTTTTTCACGACCGAAAATTCACAGCAATTGGCAGAGGCTTGAGGGGTCTATTACGTAAAAACAGGTACCAACCGCATCTGGGTGCCCGCGTACTCACTTCTGAGGGATCTGTTACTGCAGGAGGCACACGACGAGATTACCTCGGGACATTTCGGGGTAGAAAAAACGCGACAGCAACTGCAGCTGTATTACTACTGGCCGGAGCTGTTGACCGATGTACAGCACCACGTGGGCTCGTGTCCTATGTGTCAAGTGATGTAGAGCTCGCAAAAAAGAAAGGCGGGTCAGTTGCAGCCGATTCCACCGCCTGAGCGCGCCTGGCAGCACGTTACCATGGATTTCGTCACAGGGTTACTTTCGAACCCTGGGGGTAACGACGCAGTTATGGTCGTCTTTGACAGGTTGACGAAGATGGCACACTTCGCTGCGTGCAGGAAGTCGATCTCAGCTGAAGAAACCGCTCGCCTGTTTATCGCAGTCGTCGTTCGACTACACGGGATACCAGCCGCGATAATTAGCGACTGCGACACGAAGTTCACCAGCAACTTCTGGAAAAACCTCTGGGAGTAGTTCGGGACAAGGCTACAGTTCAGCTTGTCGTACCACCCCGAGACCGATGGTCAAACGGAGCGGACGAATCAGACGATGGAGCAGTTGATTCGTGCCACGTGCGACGACCCGACCACTTGGGAGCAACAGCTGCCGATTGTCAAATTGTACGTATGCCATATATGTGTAGGCTGTAGTGGGGTAGTCAACATGGGGTACAACCCCATTAGGGTTTCATATTTGTACCAAACCCTGATCTAGTTAATTTATTCCTGCTACTAGATTCTAACATGGTTTCAGAGCACTAGGTCCGTAGGACCGTCTTTTTTTTTTCCGGGCCCACCTACCGTTGCGGTTACCGCGCTACCCCACGTGTTGTCCTGCGCGTGCCTTCCCCTCCCTTGCCTTGTGACGTTCTGCGCTGCGCCCGCCGTCCTGCAGCCCTCGCGCTGCCTACTGTTGCCCTAGCTACGCACGCACCGCCCTGCAAACCCGTAAGGCTAGCGCGCCGCCCCTGCAGGCCCGTAAGGCCAGCGCGCCGCCCCTGCAGGCCCGTAAGGCCCGCGCGCCGCCCCTGCAGGCCCGTCAGGCCCGTCAGGCTAGAGCGCGGCCCTGCCCTGCCGCTGACACGGCCCCGCCTTGCACCTCACGCGGCCCCGCCCTGCCGCTGACGCGGTCCCGCCCTGCCCCTGATGCGGCCCC